TCCTGGATGACTCAGGATTCAGTTTCTCCACAGGACGGGAGCAGACCGACTCTGTGTCTGCTCCAGCCCGGAGGAGCAGGCAGGGGCAGAAGGGCATAAGAAAACTTCTTACTATGGATGTTTCTTATTCTGAGTGTCCCACTTGACCATGTATAAATACTTGCATTACTGAATAGAACTTGCAAATCTGACAGGTCTCCTTCACCTCAAACAATAGTTAAACTTTCAAAACCCGGTGCTGTTGAGAACAGTATTGTAGACAGCAGCATTCTGCCTATAAAACTCTTTCCTCACCCCCTCACTTCGAAATATATCAGACACATGTGCTTTACAGGTGTATTGGTTTGCTCAATTTCAATCTTTCTTCCAGCAGTGAAAAAAACAGCTATCATAAATTACAAATCTAAACCCTTATAATAGAAGAATTAATATTATTAATGCAATGATATAAAGCTGTCCTAGAGAAAGTTCCATGGCTGAAACCACACAGCATCCATCATGCCTGATTTATGGAGTCTTTAAAAATAGGTGGCATTGCCTGAACTGGCCATCTATTCTTGTTTTTAAGCATGTAGAATGACTAACGATAAGTCATCAGATAAACTGAGAAGGCAGAATGAAAAATAACAATACAAACTTATCAATTCCCAAGCACCTTCCATCAGAAGACCGTGGTGTCCTTTACAATCATGAATTTATGAGCCTCATAACATGTCTGCAGAGCGAGAGCTGTTTAATTAAAATGTGTAGTCGGCAGATACATGACCTGTAAGGTAACCAAAGGAGGAAGTAGCAGATAAGCCACTTCCAAGGGGTCAGCTAAGCTTCTTGTTTGGAAGAAGAGATACTAGGCACACATTAAGGACAGGACCTTCTCTATGACACACAGTGTGAACAAAATAGCATTCAGTACAACTCAGTTTCTGAAACTTACATTTCTATTAATTGCTTTCTCATGAGGTTTTCTATTCATGGAGGAGGAATGAAAATTCAATTTATTTTTCAGTTAACGAAAGGCACTCTTCCCAAGTCTACAAGCTCCTCCTTAATCCTTGAATATAAATATAAGTATGTACTTTTGTATATTTTAAAATCATATATATATAATTTAATTTAATTTTTTTACTTATTCATATTACATCTCACTCACTGCCCCCCTCCAGGTCACCCCTTTCCACAATCCTGCCCTGCTCCCTCTCCCACCGATCACTTTCATTTTTAACCTAGTATTTCCTTTCTTTCTGGGACTATATTTTGTTGGCTTGTTCACTGGCAGTGTTTGTACTATCAACATGCCAGAGACGATAATGAAAAATAGGCAGAACACTTAACTGAGCCCTCAAAAAACACAGAAGTAATCTGATATTTAAGACTTGTTAATTTATGAAGTGACAAATGAAAATCTATCAGGTTTAAATTCAGAAATTATTACTACTTTCAAATAACTAAACATTAAATTCTTAGGACTGAATCCATAAATTGAGCACATAATACTGTATTAACCAACTCTTCTGGAAAGACTATCTTTTAGAGTCATTCTAAATTCTGTTAACCCAAAGCCTAGGATCACGATAAGCAAGCCTGAGATTATTTATATTGTTATGAGATAATATTTAATTTCAAAAAACTGTACAATTATATTTGTTTATTTCCTGTGCTTCAGTCTGAGTTAAATTTTATCCTGTTTATTTTTGCTACACATATTAGCAGCTGAGCTGGATTTTAATTTTATGAGAACAATTTTTTTATTGTTGTAAATTTTACATGCTCCATTGCCACATCTCCGTGCCTTGCTTTATAAACATCAGTGAGTCCCAAATCTATGTACAATAAAAGTGAGAAAACAAAGAAGAGCCTTCTACAAAGAAAAAAAAAACATTTAAATTGTAGAAGTCACTAGTACATTCATTGGTAGCTATTAAAGTAAAGGACCTGCTCAAGTACTTAGGCCAAGGAAGATACAAATACTTCCATATCCTCTCTAAAAATCATATTTAGAAACTGCAGACCTTTGTTGTCCTAGAACACAGAGTCCTGCTTAGATTTTTAATGCTGTCCTTTCTATATATTGTTACAATTTTGGAAATGTAACCAGGTTCCAGAGGAGAATGATACTGCTAGACATATGATAGGCAGCAGTCCTGTGATCAAAGATAAAACTATGTAACCCCAAATGAAGGGGTCTCCTTTAGGAAGTCATTGTGAATAATTGCTGACAAGGTGACTGGAAAAATACCAAAGCTAAGAAAATAAAGCATGTTCCTTCTTCGCTTCCCTCCCATTCTCCAATCTCTGCCTGTCCTCCTTTTCTCATCCTGTCCCCTCCCTTCCTTTTCTCCCCTCTCTCTGCCTCCCAATTCTCATCTCTTCCTCCTTTTGTCCTTCAAATGCTCAGTAATGAAAGATACATTGTATCTCAGAGTCATTTGTTTTACATTGTTCTTTAAAAATTGTTTCATGAAGACACACTGAAAAATAACATTACTGCTGGCAAATAACAGTTTATATAGAGCTCACAAATTGTCCCCCGCTGGGGCGGGTAAAAATGAAGCCCATAACACTGTACAGAATCTCTACTCACTTGAAAATGATTACTTTTCCCTGTCAATTCTCTAAATTATCAGACATTTATACTTTAATTTGTCCTATTATGACACCACTTGAGGTGTACACTGTTGGCTTACCGAAGCAGAGCAGTCTGTCATTTCATCAGCTCCCTCCCTAAGAATTTTTCTCTGGACTACTGCCAGTAAGTGGAAGCCACAACTAATTCCTGTATATTACGAAGTCGTGATGTGCATAATATTGAAGGCAGAAAGTGTGAAACTCGTGCTTTAAAAGATGAAAACAAATTTATACAGTAGTGTACATTTAAAAAAAAACTTGAAGAAAACTACAGTTCTCCAAAATGCACATTTTAAAATTACCTGCAAGATTGAGAAACACTTAAGAGACAGAGATGTAATGTGGAATGAGGAAAGAAGGAACAGGTTTTGCCCTTAACTAATATTTAGTTGCCTTGCAGCAGTAAATAGATTTATTTGCATCTGTCTAGTTAAGGTTAATAGATATTCCATTTTAGCTGTTCCATTTATCCACTTGAAGCTTGCACCTATATCTTAAAGAGTATCTGCAGACATAGTTACTAAGAACAGCACACCTCCTTTGATAAGGCAATGCGTAGGACTGCATTTGAGTTTACAGCTAGCTGCAAGTATTGAGCAAATGATGATGGCTGAGTTCGTTTGACTCTGGAAGCAACAACCTTCATCAGCCACCAGGTCAGGTCTTTACAACGCTAACAGCAATATAATCTGGTAACATGATCTATGCTTGCTGGACTTTTGTGCTCACTTGCAAATAATAACAAAGGTTACTTTAAATTCTTTTTGTCCTACCTTTTGAACATGTCTGGGAAGTGGAACAAAAGTTCTTCTTGCTTCATAAAAGCTATTTTCCTGTAGATAATCTATCATGCATTTCCAAGGATATGAGAACTGTCCACCAAGAATCTGCTGCTACTTTGGGGACAGGAGTCTTCCATGGATTCACCGTGACCAAGGAAACACTGTTACCTAGCAACGTGGCCATCTAGGAGGTCTTGTTACCAGTCTCTGGGAGCTTGTCAAAGGAGCTCCTGTGCTCCAAACACAGGTTAACAGTGAACATTGCTCCTGAGGACGTGTCTGAACTGTGGTGTTACTTGAATCTTAACTGCAGAAAAGAAAGGGATAGTGGGAGGGGGTGTTTGAGCATTTGCAGCCATCCTTCAGTGTCTACTGCTTTCATTATCATTATTTTTATTAAAAATCTATCTTGCATACAATATATTTTGATTATGGTTCTCTTAACTCATTTATTCTACCCCCCTCTTCTCCCTCTCAACCAGTTACATACCCTTTCTGACTTTCATTTACAAACACCAGGAGCTTGATATAATAGTGAAATAAAATAAGATAGAATAAAACAAACAAATCTGAAGAAAACAAACACAGCAGAAGAAAGGGACCCAAATAAAAGGCAAAAGAAATACATAGAGATGCAGAAGCACACATATTCACACATACAGAAATCCCATAAAAACATAAAACCAGAAGCATATATATGTGTGTGTGTGTGTGTGTGTGTGTGTGTGTGTGTGTGTATTTACTTGAGTCTGCATCATGTGGCACAACCAGAAATTTCCATCTCACCCTTCCTAGGGAGATCCGTTCCTTCCAAGTAGTCCCTTACTGTACAACTAATCTCCTCTGTGGTTAAATGAATGATACCCTGCTTATCAATAATGTCTTAAGAGCAAACATTCACAGATAAGTGAATATATACCATATTTTTCTTTCTGGCTCTGGGTTATATCACAATAAGGACAATTTCTTTTTCTGGCTCCACTCATTTAACTGCAATTTGTATTCTTAAATAGCTAAGTAATATTCCATTGTATAAATATACCACATTATGCTTAGTCATTAATCTGTTGGTGAACATTTAGTTTGTTTCCAATTTCTCTTAATAATGAATAAAGATAACATGAAAATGAGTGAGCAAATGAGGGAGGATGTAGAGTCCTTTGGGTGGTACAGGTGAGTCTCTCAAGGTAGATCTGATTCCCAGTTGCCTGAGAAACTGCCGTACTGATTTCTATAGTGGCCGTACAAGTTTGTACTCCTATCAGCAATGAAGGAGTGGTCCCCTTATGCCACATCTTCATGAGCATGAGTTATATTTATTTTATTGACCTTGGCCTTTCTAACTGATGTAAGATGAAATCCCAAATTAGTTCTGATTTGCATTTTCCTGAAGACTAAATATGTTGAAGTTTTTTTAACTGTTTCTTAGCCATTTGAATTTCCTCCTTTGCAAATTCTGTTTAAATTTGTACCAAAATTTTAATTGGGTTATTTATTTTCTTGATGTCTGGGTTATTTGTTTGTTTTTGTTTGTTTGTTTTACTTCTCTATATATTTTGGATATTAGCTTTCTATCAGATACACAGTTAGTTAAACCTTTTTCCTTTTTATAGCCTGCCACTTTCTCAGAATTATGACATTCCTTGATATACAGAAGTTTTCCATGGCATGTGGTACCATTTGTTAACTGTTGCTCTTAGTGTCTATGCTACTGGTGTTCTCTTCAGAAAATCATTTTCTGTGCCAATTAGGTAAAGACTATTTTCCACTTTTTCCTCTATCAGATTTTGTATACATTAAGGCCCATGAACAGTTTTCAGTCAAGTTGTCCAGGGTGATGAACAGACATTGAAAATTAAGTATAAAGGGGTGATTTGTGAGGGAGACAGAGCCATGAAGGTGGAGGTACATACAGCTCCTGGGGTTGGATAGACAGATAGAATTGAGTCTTCCCTATATCCCCTGGCTTTGGGTATCCTGCACAAGGCAGGCCTCAACCGATGACCCCCAGCAGCCTTGCAGGAGCCAGTTCCCCTTCTTGTTCTTGCTGTCAGCCCTGCAGCCACTGTGGAAGAGCAAGAGTGTCAGTTCCCAAGTCCAAGCTGGGGCACTGCCCTGCTATGAGTCTGTAAAGCCTTCCACATACCCAGAACAACTAAAAAAGTCAGATGTGCTGGAAAGATGCTTTTAAAAAGTGGTTTCATAGAACTGGAGGAAAGATGGTACAACATAGCAAACAGAACGTATGATATGGGAGAGATATGGAAGAGTGGCCTCAGGGGACAAAGAAAGGTCATTACTCAGTGCTGACTCACAGCATGGAGCCCCTGCTGTTGCTCACTCTACTGGAAGAAGGGGAGCAAGAAGCTGAGGTGTTGCCCACAGGCTGCAAGCACAAAGGTTATGGCACCTTAGACAGGGAGGCGAGGCATACCTCAGCCTGGAGCCCCTTTGGAAACGTGTCATTACTGTTTCCTGCCCGTAGCATGCTGCCACTTCAGGTGCAGCCTCTATTACTCACCTGGCTGGGAGGAAGAGAATGTGTGACCAAGACGGGGTCAATAGGCTACAGGCACAACAATAGTACTCAGTGAGCCTCGAGATAGGCAGGGAAATGTGCGAAGGCCTAGAACACTCTTGTATACAGCTCTTGGACTCTATGGTTAGACACATAACCACCCTGACCCTGAGCAGCAACAGCAGGATATCTGAGGTGAGTCTCAACAGTGATCTGGTGTTTATAGTGCTCTAGAAAGGTCGAATCAGACCAATTATTCGTCGTAATGATTATTTGCATGGAAAATATCTTGGGCGAAAAAGATACTGTATGACACACTGCAGTTTCCAATGCCACTTCAACTTCAATGAACAAATAAATGTATGATGGAGAGGTGAGAGAGATGGAAGGACGGAGGAGCTAATGCACAGCGGAGAGATGCAAAGCTAGAGATGCAACGGCAGTGACAGGTGTGGGAGAAGGCTGAGCTGGAAGGAGGAGCCTGTTGTTGCAGAGTAGGGCTGGCAGGGTGGTGTGCAGCAGCCTGGACCTTGTGCAGGCTCTGTCCCTAAACATGCTACCCAGCCACACTATCACCCTGGCTCTGAGCAACAACAGGATTCCCGGAGAGAGAATGGCTCATTTTTTCGATTGAGATTCTTTGAAAGACGTTCAGGGTCCTTGCTGACCCGCGCAACACACCATGTTGGTATCTATGATACCTGCTACAGCTAGGGACTTGCTGGTGTCCATGTCTGTGCTGCAGCAGCAGGCGGTACAGATGTTTTCAGTCTGTATGAATGTTAGTACTCCAGAGGTCAGGTGAACACCTTGGTCTGTGCTACTGTTGGAGGCAATGCTGAGGCGCCTCTGCATCACCAAGGGCCAAGTTGCTGTTCGTGGACCTGCTGCTGCTGGGGGCCATGTGGATGTCTGTGGTCTGTGCTGCAGCCTGATACCATGTTGATGTCTGTGCGCCATACTTTGCTGTGGGGCATGTTTATGGGTTTAGCTTACGGAACTCCCACAACTGTTCCCTAAGAACCTGCCAATCATGCCTTCTAAGGAAGCCATATGTATATATATATATATATATATATATATATATATATATATATATATGGCAGTGGTTGCTGCTGCCACCTAAAGTCATGTTGGTGTCTGTAGCCTGTAACGCTGAAGCTGTAAAAGGCCATGTGATGTCCATGGTCCTTGTTACACCCAGAGATCCATTGTGCTTCTACTAGACTAGAGGCCAGACTTTTTTTTTTTTTGGTTTTTTTTTTTTAGATTTAACATTTTCATTGACTAAGGTATCCAATTTTCTGTCTTGTCTTGTCTTGTCTTCAATACTGGAGATTGTCTCTTTCATCTCTTCTATTCTGTTGGTGAGCCATATCTGTGAAGTTTCTTCTTTCAGTTCCTAAACTGTTCATTTCCTGTTTTACTTCGCCTTGTGTTTCCTTTATTGATTCTATTTCCACATTCATGTCTTGAACTAAGTTCCTTATTTCATCCCACTTTTTCACGCATTTCATTAATAAATTTATTCATACTTTCCTTAAAGACTTGTAATATATTTCTAAAGGCTCTTTTGAAGTCCTTGTCTTGTCCTTTAGTCATATTGCATTGCTCAGGGGCTACTGTAATAGTGTTGCTGAACTCTAGTGGAGACATGCTGTCCAGGGTGTTATTGATTCTGTTTTTGAGCTAGTATCTAAGCATCTGGAATTAGGATGACTGTAACTTTAGGTGTTGATATCTAGTTTTGTCTTTACTGAGTAGGTCCTCTTCTGTTCGGTTTCTGTTCCTCTCTCTGGTTCTTATGAGAATGTGGTTGCTGTGAGTTGCCTAGTATAGAGTGCTTCTGAGTCCCTGACAGGGGTGGCCACTGGGAGCACTTGTTTCTAGGTATTGGAGGCAGACACTTACGAGTGGAGATAGGCTAGTAGGAGGATCTGTGGGGTCCAAACGAGGGGGAAAAAAGCAGTGTGTTCCACCAAGATCTGCCTAGTTTCTAGAGAAGGGAAGCAGAAGAGTATGGAGAGGCCACAGGTGGTGGTGCATCAATGATGGGGGTGATAATGGGAGATTGGATTTACAGGAGAGGAGGGAGAGTGAAGATTGTCTACCTGCTTCCTTAGAAGGCATGGCTGGCAGGTTCTCAGGGAACAGCGACAGGAGTTCATAGAGGAAACAAAGGGATTGGGTAATGAGAAGCCATTTCTATTATTGAAATACTTGTGTGTTTGGTTTTGTTGAAGTGAAACTTGTACAAAATGTCTCTTGGTATTTGGTTTCTTCCTTCTATTCTATGAATTTAGAACTAGAAGGAACAAGTTAGAAATTGTTAATTCCTGCTTAACCTTTGAGCAAATAAAACTCTTTTGAAGACAAGAGGTTTTTTCCTTGTTCATAACACAAGAGAAATATACTTTATTTCAAAGCAAACATCTAACCTCTTTGCACTGAAGAAGGAGCAAATATCACATTTTATTTATATAATTATTTATTGATCCAGAGGGTTGGCTCAGGGTGTCTACCAAATACATAGACCACGTTACATTTTTAACTTCATCAACCAATAAAATGCAAGTTCTGTAAACATGTAGTTTGTGTCTCATTCTCCACAAATGTAAACGTGTAGACATTTTAAAAGTCTTTGACAGTTTCACACATGTATATAATGAATTTTGATCATTTTCACTCCCTATTCTGCTCTGTCAATCACTTTCTTCTCCTGGTAAAACCCTCTCTTCCCTCGGCTTGTAAAACCTTCTACTTTACAAGTTTCTCTCTTCCTTGGATGC